TGCGAGGGAGAAAACTTCTTCTAGATCGCACAGTGCTGGACCGCCAATCATCCAGATGGTATGGATGTTATCACGAGTTTTATGGCGATGTGCGATGGTGAAATTGAGGGGCTGAGATTAATCCAAACAATTCCTACAAGCACTCCCCGTGTAATACTCTATGCACGAACGGACTTGCGCTTTATATAAGGTAAGAAGCTGCCCCTGCGTGAAGTACCGCCGCATCCTTCGTACTTATATTTTGGTCATGAAGAATATTTTTCGATACGTAATCCCCAGCATATAGATTTATATTATTATATAGATTAGTAGAAACAATCTAACAAACATCTCAGTTTAGCACATTTAGCACATTTTGCAGTACCGGCCCTTATTGCATAAGGGCCGGAACTGCAAAATGCCATCTATCAGCGTTGGAATCAGTGAAAAGATGTTTTCTTTTTTAATAGCATAAGGGTGACAAACGAGCACACAGTCCACCTGATGGTAAGTGGTTGCTGCGGCCCATAGACATCTACATCTATCCTCTGTTACAAATCAAAATGTAGATGCGTTGTCACCCTTGAGGACTAAGATGGAATGCCTCATTTTCAGTAAAAAGGGCCTCCGGCCACCTGCACTCGCTAAGCGAAACGCAGAGGTAAACCTCTACTTCAAGCTGGTTTTCTATGAGGCTGTGCTAAGATATTTATTGATAACATTTACTAGGTTGTAACCAATCTTGTCAGCCTCGAGCACAGGCGCAGAGTAGCCAAACTCTCGGTATTCTATATCCATATTTCGGAGAGTGTGAGCAGGGAATTACATATTTTAACTCCACTCTCCCCCTTTCCACTATCGGACAACCAGGTAGTCGGCGCGTCTCTGCCCCTTTATAGTTGAACTAAGTGGAGATATTCCACGCATTAGAACCAAAAGGTTTTCTTCGTCTTTTGTAATATGTACAGCAAAGGAGTGAAATACTCGTCATTTGCCGGCATCTGTCTTTCTTCAAGGCTAGAGTGAATAGGCTTTTACTACGCTTCGATAGTGTGATTTACCATCTAGTGTTTCATCACCACTTACCACCAGGTGGGATTGTAGTCAAGCACTGGCTCAAAATAATATTAGTAAAAAACAATATGTAATATTCAATGTATGTAATAATATGGTGCTAGTGATCGATCTAATTGGATGCTGGTTTGTTTCCCTCTATGGGATCTTTCGACACCCACGGGATGGTAGTGGATATCCGCCACTACTTGCTCAACTGTAGTTATTTTATGTAAGTATGCGTTATGGAAATTTTAAAATAAATTATAATTATGTAATGTTATTGTTACGGCCTACGGCTGCTCCCACAGAGGTCAAATCCTCTGGGGCCCATTCAGCAGAGTTTCAACGAACAGACGTAGGTCGGGCCTCCTAAGGCCAAAGTGGAAAATCTCTAGTTATACTAAACAATAAGGGGGAGCGTTCTATACTACGGCCATTCAACAGGGAGAATATTAGACGGAGCTTACTTACCTATATCCAAGGCGACTGCTCCCTCAGGATTCGGTCAGGTCGCATGTGGTTGTGTGGTGCAAGGGAAATAAGGTGATGTGATGTGTATCTGGGTGTGACTGATGGTGATTGAACCTAAACCGTGGCCGTCGGCAGCAGCCCGAGCGTCGACACCGCTCCAACTTGAGGGGGCCTTCCGAGGCGTTGTCACTGTCACTTTCCTCGTTCGTCACGATTAACTAACTTACAGAAGCCACTAACTATCGCTGGGTATAAGATTAATGCACAAAACGCACACGGAGTTTACGGATCAAAGATCTAATAAATATAAATTCTAGACAGTATATTTACTAGCCGCGCCTAATTATTCCGAGTTCCCGAACAAAAATTGACAGCATGCTGACGTTAGCCCAGCTGGCAGACGACTGCTGCGCTTGCGCGTTCTACGCACGACCGAAAGTCAAACCGGTATGGCACCGAGCCGCGCGCCCTCTGACGTCGATTCCGAAAACAGCGTTTGGCGCGAACAGTTATTATGCACAAGTAAACTGTAAATCAGCTCTTGAAATTACAATTGACTGTTTTATTCCTCGCGATGGATGTCGAGTTGGCTATAATTGGCTGTCACCCCTAAGTATTTTTTTTATAGGATAAGGGTGACAAACGAGCACACAGTCCACCTGATGGTAAGTGGTTGCTGCGGCCCATAGACATCTACATCTATCCTCTATTACAAATCAAAATGTAGATGCGTTGTCACCCGTGAGGACTAAGATGGAATGCCTCATTTCCAGTAAAAAGGGCCTCCGGCCACCTGCACTCACCAAGCGAAACGCAGAGGTAAACCTACCTCTACTTCACGCTGGTTTTCTATGAGGTCGTGGTACCACCCCGGTTCGAGCCGGCCCATCCGTGCGACAGCAAAAACTGCCGCGTGGCTCTACCACTGTTAAAATAGAACCACTGTATTTAGATGGAATGCCCCATTTCCATTTCAACCTTAATATCTAATTTATTCCATACATAATACTGTAGATGCATCGTGGCTCTACTGCGTATAAAATATATTTAACATATATAACAATATTTTTTATAGGATAAGGGTGACAAACGAGCACACCGTCCACCTGATGGTAAGTGGTTGCTGCGGCCCATAGACATCTACATCTATCCTCTATTACAAATCAAAATGTAGATGCGTTGTCACCCGTGAGGACTAAGATGGAATGACTCATTTCCAGTAAAAAGGGCCTCCGGCCACCTGCACTCATCAAGCGAAATGCAGAGGTAAATTTCTACTTCACGCTGGTTTTCTGTGAGGTCGTGGTAACACCCCGGTTCGAGCCGGCACATCCGTGCGACAGCTAAAGCTGCCGCGTGGCTCTACCACTGTTTAACTGTAACAAACTGTAACAAACATAATAAGTAAATTTTAAAATTTCTGTCAGTGGTATTTGAATAAATGACTAGGGGTTTATTTTCGTGCTATTTAGACATGTACATAACGAAATTCAAATATATGGTCTGTCCGTCCGGGCTAATTTTCGGAATAACTGAAACAAATTTGATGAAAATTCACGAACAGATAGACATCAATTCCAAGAATAATCCAGGTTACACTTTATTTGAAAATCATGCTGGGTTTTTTGTAAAACAGAAAAAAAACTGATAAAATAAATTGTTCACATAGTTTACAAAATATAAACAAGTTTCGAACAAAACTTTAATGATTTGCTTTTTTACACCAAGACTCCTTTTTTGTTTAAGAGCAGAGCTGTATGAACAATAAACCTGCAATAACAATGTCGTTAAAATCAATGAAATTAAAAGATAATAAAAGAAAAAAATGCATGAGTGTCGTGGAACACTCGGTTGGAACGAAGTTCCTGGCGTAGTATATTATTATTGATAACCGTAAATATTATATTATCGATTAACAAATACAAATAAATGAATTACTAGCTTCTATTAAAATGATGCTACATTTGAAATAAAACAGAAACAGAAACTTTTTATTCAATATATATTATAAATAATACATATTGAAAGTCACTCTTTTGTATAATTACCAATGGTTCGAAAAAAAAACCTCTGTCTTGGGAAGAACCAGCAAGAAACCCAGCAGGACTTTTTTTAAATAACAGCTTACAATCATGTATTTTACATAAATTAACAACACAACAAATTAGAAATAACTTGGTATCGATCACCTCATTTCCAGGGGTTATTATCATCTATAAATTCTTTAACCCTTGTGTGACTGTGAAATAAAATACCTTCTAGTAACGGTATAGGTACCCGGGTACCTGCTATAATTTTTAACATGTTTTTGACGTTTATATGGATTTTTATGGTGTATTTAATATTTAACCATGAATATTTAGATAAACAAGATAAAATGACTTGTATTTAGATTTTCCCCACACATTCATACGAAAATAAATTTTGTTTATATACCATTTGATGAACAAAATATTTTTTGGGGGGTAAAAATTTAAATTTACGCAAATTGTAATTGTTTGTTACTCATAGTGCGTCCTGTGTTAAGATTATTACTGCACTCTAGATGTGTTTCAACTTTGTTTTACAAGTTTTTTCTTGTCGGAACATGTTGCCTTCCTGCATGGTTCGTTGAGTCCGAGCATTTGTGCAAGCAAATTCACTGTGTAAAGACGTGTTTTTCGAAATTATTTGATAGTGTGTCACAAAAATGGATGATGATAATAAAGCTGGTCCAAGCGGATATTCCGTGCCGAAGTAGCGGAATAAAAGGTAAGCAAACAATATTTATTATTTTATATTCAAATTTAAATTTTGGATGTCCGAGACTAATAAATCAAACGATCTACTTGAGTTTCTATTATAAAAAAAAATTATTTTAGACTGACATCTGCCGAGTTGAAAGCCGCCCTAGATGATTCGGAATCGAAAGAAGAGCCATACACTGCGTCTGACGAGGATGAATATGTGCCGGAACCGGAAGCTATGGATTCTCAAGAGTCAGATTCAGAAAAAAATCCTGTAGTTGAGGAAGAAGAGTACTATGACTCTGATGACGAAGATGAAGAAGATCCACCCATAGAGTCGAATTTATTGAGTAAAGATGGCGCTCAATGGTACAGGGATGCATTTCCACAAGCTCAGACAGTTCGTCGCAATATTTTACGTCAAAAACCTGGAGCAGCAAATTACACCGCATCCTACTCGGCAAAAGAAATATTCAAAATAATGATATCTACGGAAATGTGTGATATTACTCTAAGGGAAACCAACCGAAAAGCCCAAAAAGTAACGGATGATTATAACAAAAAAATAATGGCTAAAAACCGGCGATTTCAAAAAAACTTTCAATCGTTTACTGAAATAGAATTTGATGCATTTCTGGGAATACTTCTTGCAGCTGGTGTACATAGATCTAATAAAGAAAATATTTCCGAAATGTGGAAGCTCATATCAGAGGCAAACAAGAATCTTTGCCTCTGATATGAGCGGCTATGTCTCGTGACCGATTCAAAATGTTTTTGAGATTCGTTCGATTTGACAATGAAAGCACACGTAATGAACGTGCAAAAACCGACAAAGCTGCGCCAATTCGCGATATGTGGACGATGCTCAATGAAAATTTGAAAAAACATTATAAACCCAATGAATCCATAACTGTAGATGAACAATTGTTCCCTTATAAAGGACATACAAAATTTACGCAATTCATGCCGTCCAAACCAGCAAAGTATAGTATAAAAATCTTCTGGGAATGCGATTCTTCAAACGCTTATCCTCTACAAGGACAAATTTACACAGGAAAACCATTAGACGGGCAACGTCAAGTCAATGTTGGTGAGAAGACGGTCTTAGATTTGGTGCAATTTTACAAAGGTTCAGGAAGAAATATTACTACAGACAATTTTTTTACCAGCCTGCAACTGGCTCGATTTTTAAATTCATGGCATATGACTTTAGTAGGTTCCGTTAGAAAAAATAAACCATGGCTACCCTCTAACATGCAGGCATCAAAAGATAGAGCAATCTTATCTAAGAATTTTGCATTTCGTGAAAACGAAACTCTTTGCTCATACGTGCCCAAAAGAAACAAATCAGTTGTCTTGTTGTCATCAATGCATGGCACAGCTGAAGTAGAAAAAAATTTGACAGCTAAGCCGAGTATTATCAAATATTACAATAAAACCAAAAGTGGCGTTGACACAATGGATAAAATGGTGACGGAATATACAACAAAACGTAGAACAAATCGTTGGCCACAACGTCGTTGGAACATAATGAAAACGTTAGACGCACTGATAGCCGACGACTTTTTTTAAAAGACCTTGCAAAACAGTTATGCCTTCCTGCCATACAGAATCGCTCCAGCATTCCAAGAGTGATGGGACACTATTTTACACGTACTTCAATTGAAATTGTACTTGGGCAGCAATTGTTTCAAGAAGTGATTGCTGAAGACCACAGTCAGACACCCCGTGACAAAACTGGACGCATACCCGTAGTAGGAAGTTGCTTTATTTGCAGAGAATTGAGTCACAAGTAACGCAAAACTAAAAAAGTTTGTTCGATTTGTAACAAACCGATCTGTAATGAACATTGTGTAAATAAACCAACCCGTAACATTTGTAAACAAAAAGCTCAATAAACATTGTAATTTTGTTTGAACTATTTTTATTTTAGACATAAAAGCAATAATAGTATTGCTTCTATGAGTTTTAACTGATTTTATATAATAAATATGTAAAAAAGCTTAAAGATACCCGGGTACCAACTCCGTTATCAAAAGCTGAACAAAGAAACAAATTTCTTTTAAGTGTAAAATAAATTCTATATTGAAAAAAAAGTCTAGGAAGTACCAACAACAACGCTGCTGAAAGATGTCACAAAGGTACAAGATCCGCCGCTTTTGGAGAACAGAATATTAGGGATTTGAAAACGCAAAAGTTACCCAGGTACCTTGTCAGTCACACAAGGGTTAATACTATAATAACCCTTTTTATACAAACTTAGTTTAATAAAGTTTTTGAACTTTGAGCAGGTCAAATTTTGTATATTTTGTGGAATTTTGTTGTAAAAGCGTATACATCGCCCCACGAATGAATTACTGACTCGATGGAGTCTATTAACTGGTACTACTAGCTTGTGTCTGTTCCTAGTATTTACAGAATGAATATCACTTATTTTTGTAAAACTACTTTTATTTTTGTGTACGTACATTACATTTTCATAAATGTATTGAGAGGCCAAAGTTAATATATTAATTTCCTTAAATTTTTGTCGGAGCGCTTCGCGTCTAGTGTGATTCCAAGAAAAATGGTGGTATCTACAAGACTCAGTAGTTTGAGTTGTTATCAGGACGATGCCGCTGCCTGAGACCTGTTTCAGTTTCCGATGCACACGCGTCGATATAGGGTAGTGCTTATTCTTGCCACTACACGCTATCTCTAAATAACGCTACATTAATAGATCTTACCCAGCCGAAGTCGGGGCGGGCCGCTAGTTGTTTGCATTTAAGTTCTTACTCTTAAATTTTTATCCAATTTTATGAAAAATTAAAAGTACATTACTATTGCTGTGAGTGATAAGTAAAGATCTGCCCCCCACTAGATGGGGTGACGACCTGGTAAGACATGCAGGAAGTCGATGGATGCAGGTGGCTTGGGACCGTGCATTGTGGCATTGAATAGAATAAAATAGAATGGAATAATTTTTATTCAATGTAAAAAATTACTTTCAATCAAAATTTTTATTCAATGTAAAAAATGACTTTCAATAAAAAAGTAATTTTTTTACCTTACCACTGCTTCGAAATAAAAACCCTCTGTCCTGGGAAGAACCAGCAAGAAAATCAGCGGGACTTCTTTTTTAAATAATTTTTACAATATCTACCACCTCATTCCCAGGGGTTATTATCAACCATGTATTCATTTATACTATAATAACCCTTTTTATACAGTTTCAGCTTAATAAAACATTTAAACTTGGTAACAGAGAGAACCTGTACACTTTTCGGGACCTTGTTGTAATAACGTATACATTGCCCCAAGAATGAATTACTGACTCTGTGGAGTCGAGTATCACTAGCTTGTGTTTGTTCCTAGTGTTTACAAAATGTATATCACTTTTTTACTAAAATTATCTTTGTTTTTGTGAACATACATTAAATTTTCGTAATAATAATTTACTAAGAGGCCAAAGTTAATACATTTATTTCTTTAAATTTATCTCTAAGAGACTCTCTCGGTTTTAGATTGTAAATAGCTCTAATGAACCTATTCCGTAAAACAAAAATAGTTTCTGAATCAGCGCATTTCCCCATAGCGAAATCCCATAAGACATTATGCTATGGAAATAACTAAAATAAACTAATCTAGCTGTCTCGACACTGGTGAGACCTCTAATCTTTTTAATATAATTAATAGAATCAGGCGTTACTTTGCGGAAATCAATTATATAAAAGCTTTTACAAAAATTTACTTCGCAAATATCCGCGTTATAAAATAAAATGATGTGTCTCACCTAGTACGAAGAGCACCTCCCGCCCTCCCTCAATTGCGCCAAGCACCGCTGCTGGGATTAGTGGTGTTGGGAGTAGAGGTGCTGGGATTAGTGGTGTTGGGAGTAGAGGTGCTGGGATTAGTGGTGATGGGGATAGTGCACGCAATTGAGGGAGGGCGGGAGGTGCTCTTCGTACTAGGTGAGACACATCATTTTATTTTATAACGCGGATATTTGCGAAGTAAATTTTTGTAAAAGCTTTTATATAATGGCTGCAGAACTTAGTCTGCTTGCTAATTTTGATATATGGAGGCCCCACTGAAGCTTTGCGTCGAGAGTGATACCAAGAAAAACAGTAGATACAACAGGGCTCAATTCCTCCCCATTTAAAAACATATTGGTATACAGATTTTTAACATTCGTTGTTTTAAATTTAACACAATTAGTTTTATTTCCTTTCAAATGCAGATATTCACGTTAAACCAATGCACTAATTTTGATATAGCATTATTCACTTCGTCACATTTAAATGATTGACGTTTAAGTTTAAAATCAAGGAAGTTTCATCAGCAAACAATACTATATCATGACTATCCCCTACAAGGTGAGGTAAGTCATTAATATACACCAGAAACAGGAATGGGCCGAGAATCGAGCCCTGAGTGACACCCATTAGTACCGGAAGAACTTATACTATTGATAATAACCTTCTGCTTTCTATTACTTAAATATGAAATAATAAGTTTAAGCGCTTTGTTCTTGACACCATAGTACTGTAGCTTCCTGATTAATGTCTCATGGTGAACACACTCGAAAGCCTTGGATAGGTCACAAAATATACCAAAATCATCCTCTGAATTCTCCAATGCACAAAAAATATATTTAATAAGCTCAACTCCAGCGACAGTTGTCGGGCGACCCCTTGTAAAACCGAATTGATTTTTATGTAGCAATTTACTAATATTAAAGAAATTTAATATCTATACATATAATAAAAATGTAAATAGCAGACGTCTGTACATTTTATATTTTTGTAATAAAAGTGATTGAGAGATACTAAAAATAAGTAATTAAATACATTTCTGCCGTTTGTAGAATTGTCTGTCTGTCTGTTTGTTTGTTAACGTATCACATATAAACTACTAATTTATATCATGAGAATCGTTAAGGAAATTATAAAGTGTATCTTCAAGTTACATTTAGTCTTTATTTCATTAAAATCAATTCATTTCATCAAAAGTTATGATAAATATTCTGAAGTATGGGTACGAGGTATATGTACGAATTTGTTCAATGGTGGCATTGATTGAGTCATCAAGTGCATTTTAAACTAATATCATATTATAAATCAAAATTAAATGATGTTCTATAATGATATAATTATATCTAAAACGCGTAAACAAAAGTATTAAAGAAAAAGAACGTAATAAGTATATACAAAAATATATTGATCTTATTTTCTAAGTCTAAAGTACAATAGTTGACCAATTTCATCGACAGATGGCGGTGTTGTAAAAATGTAATACAAAAAGGCAGGTTGTGGTTTTTTCCTGAAGGTGAGTTTTCATATTTGCTGCTAATCTTTATATTAATCGTTGCCCTACTACGTGTTGACAAACTCAATTATTCTTTACCGCCGAGTAATCTAATTAGTAAATAAAATTTTAAAAGAGCTATTAACAATTTCGTTGGTTTCGGCTAGGATCAAACTTTCAGTTTTTGCTTACTATGCACGCACTGATTTATAAGTGTTTTTATGTTTTATATAATGTATTAATTACGTTAATTAATCTCTTTTATTTTTAGAATTGATGTTAACAGCGCCATCTCTCTTTAAATCTATACATATAATACACATTTCCTGGTTCCGCATCTGTCGTCAGAGAGGATTAATAATCCTTGTTCCGCTTACAGAAATTCTGACGTGAATAAAAAAATTCATGGTGATAACATGTTGTGTCTATTTATGTACATTGTATAGTAGGTACGTTTGTGACTAAAATTATTATGGGGACTGAAAATCATAACGTTTTGGTAAACATCTTTTTTGCAAAGAAGTTGTTAAGAAAATCATGTAGCGTATATTCGAGTTCATTTTTAATCTTTGTTTTATTAAAATTGGTTAATTCTATCGAAAGCTGTGATTCTTATTTTGAAATCTAGGTTCGAATATGATTAAAGGCGCCATAAAAGTCAGAAATAGTAATAAAAAGATTCGTGTGTAAAAAAAACGTTCTATTATAATATACTTAAAACACAGTAAACAAAAAATATGTTTTCCTTAAATTAAAAAAAGGATGTTTTCTCACAAAGAACGTAATAGATCGCGTTGTATAAATTATAACTTTTTCTGAATTGCGGTGGTGCCCCATTTTCCTAAAGGGGGTCGCTTCCGATCCGGCAGGAAGGCCATAATGGCCAACGCCAGTCCCACAGGTGGTGTTTAGTGGGTAGGCACTTCTTCAAAGTGAGTCCTACATAACCACGCAGCCGGCTGCCGTGGTATGCTATGAGCATTCACCACCTCCCTCCCCCGCTTCCAGAGGGTAAAAAAAAGAATTGCGGTGTTAAGATTTTTCGCTTTTTTTGATCGTATTGAGACTCACTGAAGAAATTTGTAACCTATGAGTACGATGAGACCTATGTATGAGTACGATGAAGTTGAAAGAGCCGTGTAGGCTAACAACACATACATCACCAGAAACCAGAAAAGAAACACGCCCACCCAAGCTATGCAACGAAACTCGATTAAAATCTAACAAAATTGCAACAAAATGTCGTGATATTGTTTTTATACCCAGAATCCCTTTAATCCCAAATA